GGAGCGCCCCGTCGACCTCCTGCAGGACCAAGACCGCGAGTCCGACGACGCACATCCGCCACAATACTACGAGCCCGAGCCGTTCATGGTGCCCGACCCCACCGTCGCGTCCACCGCGCCCTCCGTCTCCAACTTCGGCGGCACAGCCGCGGGCGGGCTCCGTCCGAGCGCGGACCGCCGCTTCTCGCACGTCTCGGGCACGACCGCGGAGGGCTCATCCGCCGTGGGTGGCCTGCGCTTGCACACGCCCACGCCCGACCCGTCCGCGAGCGGCTCGACGACAACGCGCAAGAGCCCCGCCCCGCCAACGTTCCGGCCGGTGAACATTATACAGCACGACGATGCGGGTCCGACGGACGCACCACCGGAGGAGCCGGAGACGATCGAGCTGCCCCCTGCGTATACACACATCAAGAGGACCGAGCTGACGCCGGAGCCGCGCGAGCCGACGCCGCCTCCAGCGTGAGCGGTGTGCTTGTTTTGTGAGTCGGGTAGGACTCGGCGGCGCATGCTGCGTGCTGATATTTTTAGTGGTTAAAGCTCGCGCCTCTTTGTCACGGACATCTTCGCATGCGCACTGCTGTCGAGTCGTGGCACGGACCTTCTGGACGTTGCACCACCGAACCCTTGTTTTACTTTACTTCTATCACGTACGCCGGCGGGTTCATCTAGTTCTTGAGCATAACACGCACCTTCATTTTTGCTCACTTCATTATGCATTCACATTTTGATGTTTGTTCCCTATGTATCATATAATCGTAGCGCGCGACAAGCTTGATTGCTTTGATGCGCGTTGTTGTTTATGCGAAGCGGCTGCTTGTGCCTCCGCGGGTGTAGACACCAAATAGTCACTGTAGATTGCGCAGTGCCCAGAAACCCAAGCTGTGAGTACACTATCCGGTACAACATCTTCCATCCGAAGTAAGTCAAGGTGATAGTAGATCAGTATGTATATTCATCGAGCTGCCTCACTGCATCTTACGCGCAGCGGAAGCCATGTGGATCGTCGCCTGCCACCAGATGGCGAAGCCCAGGCCAATCAAGCCGTGGAGCGTACCCCAGACAACCTCAGGGGTTGCTCTCATCCTATACGAGCACCCGACATCAGACGGCCATTCGCTCTCCGTTGTATGAGAGAACTCACGACTCGGCATATGCCCCGAAAGAGTGCGGGATGAATCGCGGTGCGTTGTACAGGATCGTCGAGCAGGTGACGTGGTAGAAGCAGAGGCCCATAGCGAAGGCTCGCTTGCCCGGGAGGAATTCTGCGCAGATGGGTAAGAATGACGGCCGTATATACATCTGTCTTGGAGCTCACCGGGTAGCGAGAAACACAGCAGCGCGGCCGCGCACGTACCCGCCGATAGGGCGGCGTACAGCTGTACAGAATAGCATAGTCTCATCAGCGGTGGCACAACATCACACCTCGCTCTAGAATACCTTCAACAGCACCAAAGTCGTATTGTTGAGCTGCAGGAACGGCAGACTCGTCGGAGACATCAGGCCTTGGATCGCCAGGGGCACCTCTATCGCTATATGCATCAAGAAGACCACCGCTCTGATTCGCACAGTCCATCGGCATGAGCTGGTAGGCGGAAGCAATCGTGCACGACACTCACAGCGGGCTCCGAGCTGCTATCATCTGCTGTGCCATGGTGTCTCGACGAAGTCCTGTCGCTGGTGTGGCCGGTGGGAGACGAGCGCGAGGAGTTGACGATGAGAGCGTCTCCGAGGTCGGCCTCTTGTCTTCCCCGATTGCTGGAATCACACGCTCATGCTCGACAGCGTGCCTGGCTGTATGCGCGCTCTGATGTGATCGAGATCTCTCCGGCAACAATCCAATGCTTCAACAGCGTTTACGATAGCCTTATGTGTTCGGCTAGTAGTACCTGCAGATATCAGCATGGCTACAACGTCTAGATTTGACTATCTTCTACGCTCATACACGCCCCTCGAGAATCCGAATACCAGTTACGAGACACCGAACCCAACCGTGTGCCAAAAGTGTGAACGCGCACTTAGTCCCCGCCCTCCTCGTCCGCCTCCTCTCCCTCCCCGCCCATCGCCGCATACGCCGCCTGGGCCTTCGCAAACAACGCTCCGCCAGCCGTCTCACACACATCCAGCTCCCGCTCCAGATCCACGTCCGACGCGCGCTCCTCCTCGGGCACCAGCACGCGGAGGCGCGCGACCTCCCTCCGCAGCCGTTCGATCTCCTCGTCGCGGCGATCGACGCGCGCCTTGAGCACCTTGATGTACTCGTTCCCGCAGCGCAGTAGCTGGAGCTTGCTCACGCCGCGGTTCGGGCCCTCCGCGTTGCCCTTCGGCGGGCCGCGCGGGGGCATCGCGCCGGGGAGGAGCGGCTCGTCCGGGTAGCCGTCCTCGGACGGGAGCGGGATCGGCGGAAGGAGCACACGCAGGTCGTCGAACGACGTCTTGAGCGAGTCGCGCCGCTTCTGCTCCGCCGCCTTGTGCGACGACTTGCGGAACGCCATCGGCTGCGGGAACGGCGCCATCGGCGACGTCGGGCTCAGCGCGTTCGCGGACCCCGCTGCGGCGCGGTCAGCCTCAGGCCTACAAAACTGGCGTATATACCGAGCTCACCTGGTCGGATCGGCTTCAAGCCCGGGCTCACCAGAGACAGGTTCTTCGACGCTTTGGACGACTCGCCCCTGGACGCCGCCCGGCTCCTCGTCGTGCTCTCCGCCGGCGCGGGCCCCTGAGACGACGTGCCCGCACCTGCGCCGAGCCGCCCAAGCTTCATGATGCTCGCGGGCGTCACGGGCACGATGTTGTTCTGCGGCGGGATGGCCGCAACTGGCGACGGCGCGCCCGACGGTGGCTGCTGCATCGTGATGATCGACGACGCCGGCGGGGCCGGGGGCGGGTGCGCGGGGGGCGGCATCGGGATCTCTATCGGCGAGGGCGTATCTGTGGGGGCATCGCCCGCACCTACCCCTGCGTCGGGCCGACGCGCGCCGGGGCTCGGGCGCGTCGTCGCCTGGAAAAGCGGGGTTGAGTTCGCGGAGCGCGTGCTGCGGGTGCTAGCCTTCTTCGGCGGGGGCGGGCCCGCCGAAGGCGCCTTGACGGTGGGCGACTGGCGCTTGCGCGCGGGCTGCGCGACGGAGGACGACTCGTCGCCGCTCGAGGAGACCGGGCGCCGCTTGTTCTTCGAGGAGGGCGGCACGGACTGCCCGCTGCGGCTCCCACCAGGGGCACCCTGCGAGCCACCGTACGCGCCGAGCCAGGGGCTTGTGAGGGGCGAGAAGTCGCCGAAGTCAAGCTCGGCGGGCGAGGGGAGGGGGAGGTTGGACTGTTGCTGGAAGACGATGTTGGCCGGCGCGGAGTGCGGGGCAGAGGGTATCATGTTCTGGGGTATAAAGTTCTGCAGAAGTTGTGGATTCTGCGCCAGGCTGGCCATCGCGGCGTTATTGGAATGCAGAATCATAGGTGAGACGAAGTCGGTGCTTTGTTGTGCACGTAGCTCAGTGGAAGACACTGAAATGAAGGTAAGCACTAGTTAGAGGACGTAAAGAGTAAACAGAACCGGCGCTATCGCCTAGAGATAAGAGAATCCACTCGTATACCAGACGTGAAACAAGGCAGTATAGATAGCAATATGTCGTATGAGAAGCTGACTGCGTCAAGAACGGCGAAGGAAACACTTGGCCAATCTCGCCTGATCTCATATGTTGTCTTGCTAGGATGCTACCCACTAGGCGGGGCCAGCAAGATGGCAGCATTTTGCCAATGCCTCTACGTCTCGTACATCATGAGACCGAGTACTCACTTGGTGTGGGGGGACCGTTGTATTGCGCCTGGTCCTTCGAACGGTCCATTGTATTTGGAAGCATCGCTAAGCTACCTTGGCCGCTGAGAATTTCCATCTGAAAGGCAATGAAGTCAGAGATTACGTGCATATAGGAAGAAACATATGCTGCATAGATGTATGGCGTGATACGAGACCAGTATGGAGTCCCGTATGAGAGTCCTGTTCTGAGGTTGTGCACACCTGTGCATTTACGCTCGCTCTGGTGCACCCACCTTCAGCCCGTGGCGCGCCGCCGCAAAGGCGAGCGCAGGGTATGGGGGCTCAACGGATTTATGTAACTTGCAGGGGAACTATCGACAAAACACCGGCATACGGCACGTCAAAAAGGGCAGGAACGGCGAGCACACCCCTCCACACGGGCCACAACCTCAGTGCGCCTCAAAAGGAATGACTGCACGCCCTCGCTTGATCAAGGTTTCATTCTTCGCTTCCCTTCACGCAGTCACAGCAGTGTGGCTATACGCCTTCATATAGCGATAGCCGAGGTGCGGTCGCGACCTGACATATAGCCATCGGTCGGACCCGCGCCAGACCAGGGCACCAAAGGGCGAACTGCACAAGGATAAAGGGACAGCAGGTATGGAACCACGCTGCGATGGTGCTTTGCAACTCCCCCGCCTACAATACACCCCACCATGCCATCCTTCCCCGTCTGAACAAAACAGAACCAGATGCTCACCTGCTGTTGGAAGATCTGATTCTGGAGCTGCTGAAGCTGCTGGAGCTGCGTGAGGCGTGCCATTTGCTGGTCGATGAGGGCCTGCGGGGTCGTCTGCGCCTGCATGGGCACGGCCTGGGGGTTCGTGTTGTTCTGCATGGCCATGAGGCTCTCGAGGACGTCCATGCCGACGGGCATGTTCGCAAGAGAGGGTGGGAAGTTCATCGAAGGCTGGGGGGCGGAATTGCTGCCGTGGAAGAGGTCTGCATGGTCGCGGTTGCTGTCCTGCGAGTAGAACGACTGCAGAAAGTCCTTTTGCTGCTGATCTTGCTGGCCAGAGTCAAGGTTCATCGCAATGAGACCCACGGTCTGAGAGACCTAGCGTGCGGCGTGGCGCTGGCGTCGGCCGTCGGGAAGCTCGTCCCTCAATTTGATCAAAGGCATCCTTTTCAAAGGAGCGTCCTCACGTGCTGTACGGATTCTGTACTGCTAACTGATAATATCCAGTACTCCCGTTTAGCTCAGTTGGTAGAGCGCGTCACTAGTATCTGCGGTCTTGCTGTGCTATGACGAGGTCAGTCGTTCGAGTCGGCTAATGGGAACTCCCGGGTTAGATGAAGTCTGTTTTGTGCCGCCATGTTTCATGGAACACGCCCGGACTAGATTCCATTTCTCGACACCATTCTGAAATTCTAGAAACCGGGCGAGGTCGCTCAGGCCAATTGTTCTACGCATACATTTCAAGAGATGTCTGCATCGTCCGCCATCTATGTATCTCACTTGCTGTATAGTCTGCATCCACAGAAACGTAGGAGTGGGAGCGTCCGGCAGTAGTCTATCTATGACACAAAAACTTCTACATTGTGAGCATGGGCACAAGCCAAATTCTTCTCCCTGTGCTCCGCGTCCCACAGCTCCTGCTCCTGCGGACGCAGAGCAAAAACATGGACATGCGCCCAACCGAGGCACGCTCTGCGGCCTCTGCTCGTATCACTCCCCAGAACGCGCAAGGCCGCACTGTCAAAACAACCCACTCACCAGCGGATTGACAAACCACGCTGTCCCCCACTCGCGCTCCTTCCTCCTCTGGCGCACGAACGCGTCCACCTCACCCGCCACCTGCCGCATGAGTCCCCCTTCCCACGTCTCACGTCCCGCGCTGTGAGCGCACGAGCGCACGAGCGCACGAGCTCACGAGCATGACGCCCCATTCGGCAAGCGCGGGGAGCACCTCGGGGACGAGTTTCCGGTGAAGCCCCAGAGCCCGTCTTGATGCAGCCGGGCGGAGATGCTTGGCGGCAGGTCGGATGGGATGATGGACAGACGTGTCCAGACGAGGACGTGTTCGATATGGTAGTGTGGGGGGAGGGGTACTATTCGCAGATTAGCATATGTTAGGAGGGAGGATGCGCACCGGAGTAGCTGTGTGGTCAGTCGTTCATGCAGATGAGCTCTGGCGGGGCGTCGACGATGAAGCACGGCAGTGCGTCGGCGGGGATCGGCGGCAGCTTGCGCTGCACCCTCTTCTCGTCTGCGGGCTGCTCTCCGCTGCGGCGCGATCAACTGGGTTCTCCAGCGCAGAGCGCAGCTTGGACAAAGTGTCTGGCTCGCCCCATCGCAACGATGATTGAACAGACATTTCAGTGGAAGTAGGCAGCCACACAGTCAATTCCGCGGCGAAACACACCTATGGAGCCGTACTCCTCCCGGATGCCTCTGGCCCACGCGTCGTACCTAGCCAGCTTACGATCTCGCTTTGGCAGGCCAAAGTCCCTGGACCACGAGAGTCGCTCAGCATTTCTGCCTATTACGGGGCGGGGAGCCTCATCGGCGCTTAGCTACGAGATGTACCCCCGAGTTGACGAACGTCTCGAGCTGCTGCCAGGTGAACTTGGCCGGATAGTGCGCCAGCAGCTCCTCACGCATCGAAGGGCCCGGGCCAACGGGTGCGCCTGAGAGGGTAGGGCGGCCGACGCGGACGGTGCAGAGACGGAGACGGTCATGGCGGTCGGGGGTGAGCTGTGCGCTGCTTGCACCCCTCATGGAGATATTCCCGAAATAGCAACTCTCTGTCGTCACGCTCATGACAAGCTAGGGCTGCTGACCGAGGCTGGGGTCGTCCTCGAACTCCATGGCGCACCGTACATTCGTCGCAGAGCAGGAACGAAAGCCAGGCTGCACGCACATCGTGCTCATCACCACCGGCAGCGTCGCCTCCATCAAGGTGCCGCTCATTGTCGATCAGCTGCTCTCTGTACGTGGTCATAACCCACCCTTCCGGCAGCTCCTTGGGTGCTCACAAGCTCTCCGGAATTGCGCCTCAGATAGTATGAGAACGTGGCGGTGCAAGTCGTAGCCACGAAGCCGTCCCTGTCGTTCTTCGATGCGCGTATGGTCGAGGAGGCCGGCGCCACCCTGTGGCGGGACGAGGACGAGTGGGCAGAGGATGTACGTCCCACGTCGATGCAGAGCATCTTCGGACCTAGGTGTCTTACACAGCGACGTGCCGCGTACAGGGCGGATACAGGCGGGGCGATCCCATCCTCCACATCGAGCTGCGGCGGTGGGCCGACATCGTGCTCATCGCGCCCTGCTCCGCGAACACGCTCGCGAAGATCGCGCACGGGCTGTGCGACAACCTCGCGGTGCGTCTGCGCGCCCAGCTCTCATCGCCGTCTCCGCTGACCGTTGCGTCCGTCGGCGCTGTCAGACGTCGCTCCTCCGCGCGCTCGCCCCGACCACGCCGACATACGTGTTTCCCGCGATGAATACGCTCATGTACATGCATCCGCTTACCGCAGAGCATCTGCGCATTGTGCGCGAGGTCATCGGGTACACTATCATTGGGCCTATCGGCAAGGCACTCGCATGTGGGGATGTCGGTGCGTACAATACCTACGCGGTGCGGTTGGGTGACGATTGCTGACCCCCCGCGATGGAACACAATCAGGGATGGGCGCAATGACAGAATGGCAAGACATCGTGCAGATCGTCGTGGACCAGTTCGGGCTGGTCAAGAGGACGAAGACATGAACAGACACGGATGCGGGATAGGAAGGACTTGTGTTCTAGCGCATATAGATACAGAGCAATCCATGGGTACAGATTCATACTGCACAAGACCAACAGACGCAGGCTCTTGGAAAGCGCTATTTCGCTGGTGTCCTGAGTATCCAACTGCCATCCACTCTTACCTTCTCCTTCACCTCGCCCTCCTTGCACCACGCGACTAACCACTGCTCTGCAAGTCTCCTCTCTTCCATCCCCACCTCTTTCTCTTCTATTGATGAGCCTTCAACTCGCTCTGCCTCCCGAAGGCCACCCCCTTCGAGGTCTGGCGTTAGTGGACGCGACGCCGGTTTACGAGTGAGTCTACGGCGTCCTTTGGATGGCGATGATTTATCAGTGAACGTTGCCCTCGAGGTGCCCATGACAGATGACAAGAATGAGGTCGACACAGCTCAGTAGACATTCTAATGACAATCAAAATATTCTGTACTGGCAACACCATGTTCTCGGTCCCGATTGACTAGCGCAATCAACTGATACTAGGTTGGAGTTGGTAGTGTACAGTACCAGGGGAATATCCACGCATCAGTGCTTTTAGGTAGGGCCGAGACAGCTCAAGAAGATCGAGCTATTCCTGAATCGAGAGCATGTTGTGCAACATTTCCTCTCGAACGAGACTGAACTGCAAGACACGAAAGCTGTGAAGAATAACATGAAAGCTTCTAAATTCTAATCCTGCCGGCGCTTCTTAGCGAGAGTGCCGAGTCGCTTGAGCGCCTGCATCTTATGAGCAGGTGGCCCCCATCTCGAAGCTATCATCTTCTCCTTTGCACCCGGCTAATTTTGAGCTGAGTGTCCACTCCAAGACCCGGATCTGAGAAATGCAAGCCCATCCCCAGCATGCACGCCTCAATACCTACCACGGACCCAAGCGCCAGCTACTAGGCAATCAAGCGGGGCATGCAGCCCCGGCCTGGCGGGTGAACCAGGTGGCTCAGGCCAAGAAGCCAGGAGGGCCCTCGACAGTGGATCCTGGAAGTAGGATTCTGCTCAGCAGACTGCCTCTGGACGTGTCTGAGAGCGAGGTGCAGGTACGTCGTCGCAAACCCTGATCGAAGGTGCAGTCTCTCGGAGCTGCTCGACTGACGGCATGTCTAGGTCCTTTTTACGAAGACGGTGGGGGCTGTGAAGGATGTGTTTTTGGTTTACAACTCGCAGGGGCGGTCGAAGGGCATGGCAGTCGTTACTTTTCAGCGATCGGGGGATGCTGCTGTTGCGCGGGCAAAGTATAATGGGAAGATCGTCGATGGAAGTCAGTGTGAGCAGGTTCTTTCATACATTCCCACTGATGGCCATGTCTAGAGCGCCCGATAAAGATCGAGATTATCGTCGACGAAGATGTGCCCGGTGTGAAAAGCACGCCGCAGCCCCAAGTGCCGTCTTTACTGCAGCGGCTGGGGGGCATTGCTGCTCCAGCATCGCAGGTAAAGCCAACTCAAAACGGTGTGATCCCCAATGGCACATCACATCCACCGTACGATATTCCGACATTGCTCATGGTTCTTGGAGACTCACACCGCTGGTTGCAGACAATCTCGGAAAGCCGTGGGCAAAGCGGCAGCAGCACCTCGTGCTGCTGCTCAAACTTCGAGCACAAAGGCAAAATTGCGTGCAAAGAAGGGCCCCAAACGCGTCAAGAAGAAGACGGTGGCAGAGTTGGACAAGGAGATGGAAGACTACCGAGCGACAGCAGACACCGATATGAATGGCACAAGTTGAAAGCAATATCCTTTCACTTTCCATACTTCCTTTCCCATTACCCATTTACCCATTGTTCCATAAGTCTTCCCGGCTCTCATGCTATGCATCCAGTGTCGTCTGCCCTGACGATATCTGTTCATTACTAGCCCTCCCAGACATGCTGCTGTATTTAGGTCCTGTAGTCGTTACGTTATCTCATCTGATAAGATAAGATGTTTGACTACGGTGATCGGGTTGAGGGTCTGCTCGGAGGCCCTTGTTCCTCGACTCATCCTCGATCCCAAGACATGGTCGCGCCTCTATACACAACTGCTTCAGGTCTCCTCTTCCATGCCGGAAAGATCCTCGTCCTTACAGTCGGCCTCCCTGCGCGGGGGAAGACGCACATCTCCCGGGCTCTGGAGCGCTACCTGCGGTGGACCGGTGTGAAGACCATGGTTATCTCTCTGGGCGACTACCGGCGGAAGGTGCTCGGTGGGGCTCAGAAGGTCCCACCTGACTATTTCACTCTTGGTATGCGCACACGTAGTCTGTGGTGGCAGGTCCTGTAATCCTTAGCAGGGCCGAAGAGTCCCGAGACACTTGCGCTGCGACGGAAGGTCTCGGACGGCTGCGAGCAGCTCATCTGGGACTTCTTCGATTCTGGAGGCCAGGTCTGCATCTACGATGCGAATAATGGAACTAGAGAGCGTCGTCAGGCCATCGCAGAGAATTTTGATAAGGCTGGGATCCATATCGTCATACTAGGTCAAGCCCTATCTGTTCCTCCGCGTCGCTATGCATACTAAGATCAACTAGAATCATTATGTGATAATGAGGAGCTAATCATGGC